TGTGAGCACCCTCTGGTCACATTCAGGATTTCTAGGCTGCTGAGGGTTTCCAGCCTACTAGATCTTATACCTCTTGGACATAAAGGATGTCCTTAAATAAATAAATAAATAAATAAATATTAAAAAAAAAAAAAACTATAAAGAATCTGTACTAAGTCACCAGGAGGAAAAAAAAGGTAATGTCCAGTAAAAAGTGGACATACAACCACTATACTGAAGATTAAGTATAACTTACATCAAGAATTTACAGTGCAAGTCACTTCCTGGTTGTTGTTTATTTTCAAGCTGCAGAATCTTTGAAGACTTTCTCGTTAGAAAGTTAATGTGAGCAGCTCCTTGTAATGTGAAATTATAATCCTAACCTTATTCTGCCACAATACCTCTTTGTTGGCAAGTCCTTAGCTAAGTACCATACACCATTTACCATGACAGTAAACTACTGCATGCAAAGGTACTAATGAGACTCATCTGCAAAGCAATGTGACTATATATTGGAACAGCTGAACTGCTTTTAGCCACTATGAAAGTATTTATTTATGATACAAGCCATTTTCAGTTAACTTAGAAATTTATCTTAGCTTTTAAATTGATTTCTAAATAGAAAAATCACACTTACTGCTAACTTTCTTAAAGTTTCTTCAAAAAAAAAAATCACTGGACAAGCTTTAACGTACTCTGAAAATGTCTTCAAGAGACAGCAATGTGAAATTATGGGTATGGTCTCTATTCACAGTCTCGACAGTAGACTTTCTCACTACACTGGCTACAGAATATTACTGATAAGTCACTATTTCCTCTCAGTCTCTTTGCTATTTCTCAAATAAGAAGGGGAGTGAACCGCAGAGGCTCTGTGATAAATTCCTCTGCACATCTGGAAACACAGATGAGAGAGCGCTACTCACTTATAGCAGGCTCTGGCCTGCTACAGCCAGAGCACAATAGGAAGATTGGAGAGCCATACTCAATAAACTGAAAATACCTTTATCACTTCCTTGCATAAAAAATATTTTTATCCAGCCCACTGCTTTGATTAATCAAGACTCTTCAATGTCAAAACTTTTTTTTTTTTCTCCCCACATCTAGTGGTTGTGTACATATTTTTGTGATTCAGAATCACAGAATCAGAATCACCAAGGTTGGAAAAGACCTCCAAGATCATTCAGTCCAACCATCCACCTATCACCAGTATTTCCTACTAAACCATGTCCCTCAGTACATCTGAATATTTCTTGAACACCTCCAGGGCCAGTGACTCCACCACCTCCCTGGGCAGCCCATTCCATTGCCTGATCACCTGAATCTGCTCTGGTGCAACTTGAGGTCATTCCCTCTAATCCTATCACTAGTTACATGGGAGATGAGGCTGACTTCCACCTCACCACAACCTCCCTTCAGATAGTTGTAGAGACTTAATATCTCCCGTGAGCCTCCTCTTCTCCAGACTAAACAATCCCAGCTCCGTAAGCCACTTCTCGTAAGACTTGTGGCCCAAATCCCTCACCAGCTTTGTTGCCCTTTTCTGAACATACTCCGGGGCCTCAATGTCTTTCTAGCCAACCCCAGCTAGATTCATGTCATGTCATGTCACGTTTAACAGTTGTCACTTTTTAAGACTTCTCAGAAGAAAGCGTTAGACTGCAACTGATTAACAATTTTAACCTTATAGAATGCAAAAGGCATAATGCAGAAAGGGGATGCAGTAAAGATTCACCTTTGCACTTATGAGTTTTTAAAAATTTCAGCAGAAATGCAAAATAGGACTCCTAGTAATCATTCAGTAGATATTTATTATCTATAATATTACACAAGGCTTAACAAACATACATAAGAGCACATCCCTTGCTTAGGACAAGTTTACAGTCTAAGCAAAAAGCCTACAATAAAAACGAAGACTGAACAATCATCAAAATCCATACTTCTCAGAGGCATATGAAATACACAGCACAGACTAAGATAAAGCTTTCCACATTCACAACTTGGAACTGATACCAAAGCACAATGATCTCTGAGAAATACTGTCATTGTTTCCCTGGGTTGTGCTATGAATTAGAGGTTCAAATTCATAAACAATTCACAGATATTTTAGAATGGCAGCTGTTAATTGTGGTAAACTCTGGAAAAATAATCATATCCATCATCATTAAAGTTGGTCTTGATTATCACTTGATCCGTGAACCTACCTACAAAATTCAAAAAGAAATTCAATTCGAACAGAGCATTTTTTCATATAACTGTGACACTTAATGGTTTTGTAAAAGGAAGAGAAGTTATTTAAGAATTAAATCCAATGGTGCATATTCTTCAGGCTAAGGAAACTATTATGACACATCTCACCATTTATATGTTATGTTCATAAATCCCACTAAAAAATTCCTTATCTTGCAGACCCCCTCCCTAGGACTATCAGGAAGCAACGCACCATATAAAATATCTGATATCAGTGTTCTGCTTTTCCTAAGAAGAGAAGCGATCATTTATTCTGCCATGGATGAGATACCATCACTGGATACTAGAGTTTGTGACTCACACTGCAGAGAAGACATGCTGTATTTGGGGAGGTGGAAATGGAAGGAAGCTCTCTGAGTAATTATGGGGTGTGGTTATGAACTTCCTAACAAACAAGGTAACTAAACATGCTGTCTGAGCAGGGTGTCTGTCACTTCCTTGGCTTGAGTAATAATTTAAATCATATTGAAATGTAGCTATTTTCTCTGTAGCCTTTTGAATAATAACTTTATTTTGGATTTATTTAATCTACAGGAAGCCACATGATGTTGACACTGAATGATGCCATATCCATATCATTTTTTTCTGCCTTCTTAGTTGCCTTTAAGGAACCGAGAGGGGGGGAACCACTCAATCTTCTAGATCTCACATTTTCCTACCCATGATGTACAGAGGAAAAGCAAAGGCTCCCATCAGCCTGCTGTTGTCTAACCCCATACTTCATTCCATACCTTGGTAGCACAAGCTCAGTTTCTTTTGTTGTTTTCCCTTGATGTGTTCCTCAAAGCAAATAAGCTATTCAGTTACTTATTTAATTACTTAGTTAAATAGCATGTTGTCTTGAAAAACACTGATGTCTTCTCATCCAGCTCCTCATGCACATGCTGGAAGTGCTTACAGTCCCAGTGCTGCAGTTCCCCCAGCCTGCTACACGCAGCGGAAACCACAATGAAGTCAGCAGGCTCTAATGCTCAGCAGCCAGCTTACACACTGCAAAACTGCAGCCTGCACTTCAGTGCTCCTTCACAGTAAAGCTCCATTCCACCCTCTAATCCAACAGTTTTTAAATTCCAGTGGCCAATTTAAAACTAAATTAGCTGAGGTAGATGTCTCAGGGAGATTGTACTCCTGGAAGTTGCTTCACAACATCTGATTAAGAGAAAAAAGTGTGTGTTTCATATACTTACACATGAAAAAGCTACCTTATCGATTATCAGAAGGTCCACACAGAGAAGAAAATGCAAAACTGATTTAATTACACAGTTGTGCACAAAGCAGCATGTTTAAAGAGTGACATCAAGAAATAAATGTACTTAATTGCTACAGAACAGCCTCACTATACTGAAGTTATAATGAAAGAAAACAAAACTGGAAGCAAAGGAAAGGCCGGTGGGGTGGATTCATAGGCCCTTTGGGATGGTGGAGCTTATCTCCAGTCAGCAGGCCTGCTGTTACAGCATACAGCCCCCTACCAACTTCAGTTTGTCACCATGTCCTCTACTTGCTCAGAGAGCCTATTGATCTCTCAGTTGTGTTACAGAAATGTATGAAAGAATCCAGATTTCCTAAATATGCCTCAAAACATGACCAGCAATGGACACCATGAACAGTTCCAACAGTACGACTGAGGGGATGGTCAGACAGGGGAAAGGGTAAGAATGCATCAAGCAGCTGGAAGCCCGCGCCAGAGCTTGGACTGCACATACAGTACACCCTCTGGAAAAGCCTGAGGGTCTCCTGTGCACTGTTTCACAGTCTAAGCATGCCTGGCATAATCTGAGACTTCCACTTTTCCTCCTCCTTCCCCTACCTTATGCCACCACACTGAAGGTGTGACACCAGACCGGCCAGTCACCTGGATGCTCTCACTGCGGCACCACACCCGCGTCAGCATAAGAACACAGGGCTGTGTCAGACTGCTCAGGAAAACCACCTTGCTGTGCAAACCCACTCTGCAATTAGTCACAAAACAAGTGAGGCTTTTAGCAGGGAAGCAACCTTGACAACACAAGAGCATCCTCTCCATGCCCCATTTCTTCTGTTTCTTGTATTCAGAACGAGTGTCTGTCTCCTGAAAGGATGACAGTGGGAGCTGCTGGCAGAGGCACCACAGAGCAGCGTGCAGCTGAGAGCTCCCTGCTGCTGTCCTGTGTCACCTGAGCAAGGGCACTGGCATGCACTGCTCTCGTTAACCATTTAATTAGCAGTGCCTTCAAGACAGAATGCCTTCCCACTGGAATTTCCAGCTTCCAGGAACGTGGCTTGCTCTCCAAAACACCTCACGACTTCCAAAACTTACAGTGGGATCTGTCAGTGCAGATGCTACTTTGTTCCATGTCGGACTGCTGCTAATGCACACTAGTTCACAGAATCACAAATCACAGAATTGTAGCGGCTGGAAGGGACCTCAAGAGACCATCGAGTCCAATCCCCCTGCAAAGCAGGCCCCCTGCAGCAGGCTGCACAGGTAGGCGTCCAGGCGGGTCTTGAATATCTCCACAGCAGGAAAATCCAACAACCTCCCTGGGTTTACACACTCCATTCTGCAGAAAGCACTTCTAACCGCTTCGGCAAAGGCTGGAATTGCTTTTTGGCAATACGGACGACTGCTTCGCAGCGCTGGAATCGTCAGCACACACGCGAACCACGCTGGCCGCAGGCTGCACCCCCGGCCCCCCCGCCACCCGCACGCCCGGCCCAGGCGCGGCCGTTGGCGCCGCGAGGCGCGGCTCGCCCCGCCGTGGGGCGGAGCGGAGGGCGGTGCGGAGGTCCCGTGATGGCGGAGGCGGGGCGGCGGGCTCAGTCGGCGGGGCCTCCGCCGGCGGCAGCGCTATGGGCAGAGCCATGGGAGTAGCCGGGCTGCTCGCGGGGCTGCTCCTCGTGCCCGCCGTGCTGCTGGGCGCCGGCTTCGGCCGCGGAGAGCCGCCCCCCGACCCGCAGCCGGCGCCGTCCGAATGGGGGACGGGGTCGGACGCCGTCCCCGAGGACTCGCTGTGGCCGCTGCCGCAGTCGCTCCGCACGTCCCGTCTCCGGCTGCAGCTGGCCCCCGAGCGCTTCCAGGTGGTACACGGCGCCGGCTCCTCGGCGGGGCCGGCCTGCGGCCTCCTGCAGGACGCCTTCCGCAGGTGAGGGCAGGCGGCGGGCCGGCGGGGCGGCGGGCGGGCTCCGGCAGCGGCGGCGGCTCCCTGAGCTCCGCGCTCCCCGCAGGTACTACGAGTACGTGTTCGGACGCTCCGGCTGGAGGAAGCCGCACCGAGCGTCGCCGTCTGCGCGAGGGGAGCTGTCGCAGCTGCAGGTGGTGATCGCCTCCCCGGAGCCCGGCTGTGACGGCTTCCCGCACCTCGCGTCTAACGAGGCCTGTGAGTACCGCGGCGTTGTGGTCAGGCAGCGCAAAAGCTAGACGGTGATTTTATTATTTTTTTTCTCCCCTGGAATTAATGGGCTCACGAAGGCTCGTGAGGACAGCGCTTAGCTAGTCACCTGGTTGTGAAATTGAGACCACGCCAAGTCGTGACATCGCTCGGTGGCGTAGTCTGTGATCTCGGCATGAAGTGCTGGGTGAAGGAGCAGCTGAGCTGCTTCCCCTGCGTCCTGCAGGGCTGTAAGAACTCATTTGTTCTGTCAACACATACAAGGCAGGATTAAAAACGCGATGATTACGTTGGATTTGTCCTGCTCTGATTCTCCATGGCTGACATCCAGATTGGAGAAACACTCTAAAATCGACTCCTAACCACTAAAGAAGTTTCTTATCACAGTTATCACAGGAATCAGTGTGTTCGGCTTGCGGAGTTCTCTTCTGAGGTAATCTTCTGTGACAGTCTGTGCAGTTATGTGGTATCCAGGATACAGGTCCTTCAGAAAAGATCCTTTTAATCTTAAGTCATACATCTGCAGCAGAAGTAATTCTACCAGACTTGTTAAAGAATGTATTGATATTAAATTTGCCTAGTCCTTTCCGTACATGTAGTCAAGTAGTGCAGTTTTAGTGTGCAGATTTGCCACACATTTCTGTGTAAATGAGATACAACAGCAAAATCATAGAATGACTTGGGTTGAAAAGGACCACAATGATCATCTAGTTTCAATCCCGCTGCTATATCCAGGGTCACCAACCACCAGACCAGGCTGCCTGGAACCACATCCAGCCTGGCCTTGAATGCCTCCAGGGATGGGGGTTCCACAGTCTCCTTGGGCAACCTGTTCCAGCACCCTCTGGAAATGTGTGAAAAAATCATTAATGCTTCAGAATTTTTTTACCATGGTCAGGATACACTACTTTACTACTATCTGAACTTTGGACAGTGTGTGAACTTCACTTCTTAATGAAAGCTGATTCTTCTGTTCTGTAAGGAAATTATTCACTTGCTGCATTGAGCAGTTTGGTTGTTTGTTGTTGTTGTTTTTTTTTTTTTTCCTAAACAGAAATGGCATGGTTTAGTGGTTATCTCATAGTGTAAGAGGTGGCACATGAGAATGTAATGATGTTTAACAAGGCCAAGTGCAAGGTTTTGCACTTGGATTGAGGCATTCCCAAATATGAGTACAGCCTGTGAGAAGAACTCACTGAGAACAGCCCTGCAAAGAAAGACCAGCAGGTCTCTCCTGTAGCCCGGAAAGCCATTGTTATCCTGAAATGGATCAAAAGAGGGATGGCCAGCAGGAAGAGGGAGGGGATTGGCCCCCAGTACAGGAAGGATGCAGAGCTGCTCGAGCAGGTCCAGAGGAGGGCCATGAAGATGAACAGAATGATAGAGCACCTCTTCTATGAAGAAAGGATGAGGGAGTTGGGCTTGTTCAGCTTGGAGAAGAGAAGGCTCCAGGAGACCTTACTGTGGCCTATGAGTACTTGAAGGGAGCTTACAGGCAGGAGGAGAACTGACTTTATGTGCAGTTGATACCAATAGGACAAAGAAGAACGGCTTGAAATTAAAAGAGGGGAGATTTAGATAAGATATTAGGAAGAAATCTTTTACTCAGAGGGTGGTGAGGCACTGGCACAGGCTGCCCAGAGAGGTTGTGGATGCCCCAGTCCCTGAGGGTGTTCAAGATTGGGCTGGATGGGATTCTGGGCAGCATGATCCAGCATGTGGCAATCCTGCCCATGGCAGGGGGTTGCAACTAGATAATCTTTAAGGTCCCCTCTAACCTAAGCCATTCTATGATTCTGTGATGAGGGTATAGCTACCTAATAAAAATACAGGTTACCTGCCCTCCTCCCTGCTGACTTCTTACCTTTTCGTGTAAATGGTTCGGTTTATCCTTGCAAAACTTGTTGTATTGCATTCATTTAAGATATATGTTGAGAAAAACAGTTGCTGTCTCAGAAGCAGATCACTGGCTGGCCTACGGTTTACCACTAAAAGAAAAAAATAAAGCAAAAAAAAAAAGAGCCCCAAAAAACACATAGAAATTGTATCTATCTTCTGTTTCTTTCCCCAAACTTTCATAACATACAGAATTGTCTTTAGGTTAAAATGGAAAACTAAATACTTTCTTCATTTTGTTACTTTGTAATTAGACCTTTATAAGCAATATCACTAAAAAAAGTAATCTGTAAGCATAATGCATCTAAAATAAGTTTAAAAGGAGAAGTGCATTTCTGTGGTTGTGTCTGGCTTAGTTACTCAACCTCATTGCCTGCTTACTAAATGCAAAAGCATCATTTAATGTGTGTAAAAAATCAATTAAGCTAAAATAGCTGGTATTCCAGCCACTGTTCAAAATTTAACATCATCATTTTTCAGAGCCATTTTTGTTTTAGCATCTTATTAACTATGGCTTCTGTCTGGGAGCTTGCATTATTCCAGGAGCACATATGAAAAATATCTGCATAGTATCACCATTAAAGAGAGCATTTGTTTGAATTACAAAGAAAAAGTACAAAAAAAAAAAAGGAGGGGGGTGGGAAATCTTGAATATCTTACTGCCTGATAATATCCTAGCAATCCTTGCCTTCTCGAGAAATAACTCTCTTTTCCTCTCTTTAGATCATTTAACTGTAACTGAGCCTGTGGCTATACTGAAAGCAGATGAGGTATGGGGAGCTTTAAGAGGTAAGCTGATGCTTTCCATACAAAGCTGTTTTTGTTCTAAGGTTATACAGACTGCATAGCAGTGTAGGAACCAACTGACCACTGAGGCTTGCCCTCATTCAGTCCTTCATGGGAGGCAGACTTGGGCTTGAGGACCTATAGGTACCAAAATGTGCACTGTACACTCCCTCAGTCTGTGTATTCTATCCCAGATTCAGTGGCAAACCATAACTGCATGCTTGCTTTATTTAAAATCACCCAGGCCAACCAAGTGCTAAAAATTTCTCTGATCTATAGTGTCAACAGATTGTACTGTGACTGCACTAATAACAACGTGCAGGTCACCACCAAGAAGACTGTGATGCTGAAGTCTCAGTCTGCTTTTCTTAAACAGTATTTAAATTAGCAATTTTTTAATGCTGAATTGGAAACTTCACCTGTTCTAGAAATGACAGGAATATATGCATGATAACACCAGACATTCCTACCTTACTCTCTGTCACAATCATTCTGTCATAGATTAATTTGGTATGTCTGAGCGATGATAATAATATTCGGTGTTTGTGTATAATGGAGAGTTTGAACTGTTCTCTCTTTGATATTTTGTTAACTTTTTTGCTTATGCAGCAAAGGTGATTGTGATAACAAGAAAGAAACTCAGTAGTAAGGCATTCTTTCTTGCTGTAAATAATTTGGGTCCTGTTTTAACTAAAACTTTAAGGCATAACAGTGGGCTGTACTCCAGATTCCTTTCTTTGATTTTTCCAGGTTTGGAAACCTTCAGTCAGTTGGTTCACGAGGATGATTATGGAAGTGTAAGTATAGATGTTAACTAAAAACACAATCTGGTAACAGACAGCCACATTCTTTATTAGGTATTTTTCAAGGAACAGTAGATCTGCAAGTTTCATTAACTACTTTTCCAGAAAATAATGTTTGAAAAGCTGTTAACAAACTGAGAAATATTTCATGTTTGTAATGATGAACATAAAATGGGAATTCTAATTCTCAAATCTCATTTTTATAGTTTCTTATCAATGAATCTGAAATCTATGACTTCCCAAGGTTTGCACACAGAGGAATCTTACTTGACACTTCAAGGCACTATTTGCCATTGAAATCTATTCTCACAAACCTGGTAAGTGGACTGTCACGTATCATGAATAAGAAAGACTTCTTATTGTATTTTGTTCTCTGAAGTAGTAGCAACTGATTTTGGTATGAAATGAGAACCTGGCTAACATCTAAAAGGACAGGGTGAACTTTTCTAAGTGGAGGTCAGAGTGTGTTCTGGATATGAATTGAGTGAGCAGATGGAGTGACTTGCAGTTCATCAAGGAGGCTGTGATTTTGTGCACCTTGGGTTTTTGGTGTTTGCTGCTGCCTAAACCAGTATAGGTATTTCCTGGAAGCATGTTTTGCAAGCATTATAGGGGAGACCCTGCAATCACTAATTCAAGTGCCAGTGGTTGCAGTAAGACTACAGTATTTTAAACAACCATGTAACCAATCATTAAATTGCTAGGAGTGATTCAGTAATGAGGTACAAACAGAGGCAAATTCCAGTATGTTCATTGTGAGCTGATTTTTTTCACAACTTCTTTAAAAAAAAAAAAAAAAAAAAAGAGAAGGTAGTAAAATTTCTATGAAGAGCTTATGAAGAATAAGAAATGCGTATTCTCACTCTCACTTGATGAGAATGTCAGAGATTTGTCTAATTCAGCACCAGAAACTGTGGGTTTTCTTACTTTGTACTGCCATATTTTCTCTTAAAGTACTTGTGGCACGTCTTGTTTGGTTGAAGTGGAGGAGCCTTTGAATGAGGGAATATGCAGTTTCCTGTCTTGTCTGTTTTTCCAGGATGAATTTTTCTTAGATACTTCCCTTCTGTGTTCCAGAACTTTGCAGAGCAGGCTTAGGTGGGCAAAAACAGAGTGCAGGTAAAACCAGCCTTTATTTCTGAGGTTGTCCTTGAACTGCACTTGGAGCTAGCCCCTCCATGAGTATTTACAACTTGTTTTTACCTGTAATATCATTCCATGCTCAGCAATTAGGTTTGTGTGGATAGTCTCATACAACTGAGAATGTTCCAGCTATTCAGGTAGTTCCTGTGTCAATATTTGTTGTCTTTTCTGAAAGAACAGATGTATGCCTGAAGTGTAACTTGACTTTTGAGACTTGAGTTTCTATTCATTTTTTTAAGTGTTTGTAACTTGCTCTTCCAGTTTCTTTCCTTAAATTATGTCTGTGGTTCAGCTATGTTTTATGCCATTTTACCAGTTTAAGAAAAAGTGTGCTTTTCCTCCTCTGTGGCTGCTCGAATCCAGACTAGCCTAATAAAAAGCAGCAGTAATCCCTTCACTGACATATGGTAATTAGATGCTTAAGGCAGCTGTTTAAGTACATTTCCTGTTTGTGTCTGACTACTGTGCTGTATCACAAGGAAGAGCATTGGGAGGTAGAGGTTGAGGGAGGATCAGGAAGTGTAATTTTTATGTGGAAAGGTGTGAGTTGGAGATGCATGAAGACAAGCAGTAATTAAGTTGCTTCAGAAAATTCAGCTTGGATGAAAAAAGAGGGGAAAAGATGGATTGTGCAAGCAATTCGAAGCAACTGTGTTCCAATTATTTGTCCCAGAAGAGTACAAATTCTTCCAGCATACAGCACTTCAGTGACTGATAAACGTATGTAGCCCACAGTATGTGTGTAAGTGCCCATCTGGAGTTATGATTCTATAATAAATGTGTTTACATTTATATTCATAACATACAGTTAACAAAATAGAAGCACTGACACTATATTGACTGAAAAATGCATAGTTTATTTTGCCTGCATTTGAAATGCATTCTGAGGAGGTTATTGTCACATGAAGATGTAATCAATAGCAGGAATTTGGTTTTCAAGTATAAAGTATTTAAGTAGAAAAATGTAAGCTTTCCTATAAGCTGAAATAGCTGATCGTTTTTAGACAATCAACCAGATGTGTTGAGAAGTGGAAAAAATTCACAAGAATTTATAGCTGTTTACTTCTAAGTTGAAAAATGGTATGCTTTTGCTTTCATTTAGTCATTGAGCTAGGCATGCAGAGTATACTGGGACAAGACCTCTTTTTTGCATAGATTTTCAGTGAGACTAAAATGCTCAAATTAAATAATGCATTGTTCATTACAGGATGCTATGGCTTTTAACAAGTTCAATGTTCTCCACTGGCATATAGTAGATGATCAGTCATTTCCTTACCAGAGTATTTCTTTTCCCGAGCTTAGTAACAAGGTGAGTAGACATCTTTGGAGTACGGTGGGAGGGCAGAAATCTAACATATTTCATGAAAACCAAATGTAGACACAAGAACCTATAAATAGTTAATTATATCTCCCTTGGCCTATTGTGAAACGAAGTTTCACACCATCATCTGTATATTTGCATTAGTAATGACTGTAACGTTACGAGGGTTCTTTGTTTCAGAATCAGTGATGAAAAGAAGGAAGAAAAGTCAAATTTACTTCTTTGTATAAAAAAACAAATAACACTTATCTACTAAAAAACCTAATGGTATAATGTTATGTAAACTTTCTCTAAATATGTACACTTCACAGGGGGCTTACTCTTATAACCACGTCTATACTCCTACTGATGTCCGTCTGGTGATTGAGTATGCCCGATTAAGAGGCATTAGAGTTATCCCAGAGTTTGATACCCCAGGACACACACAGTCTTGGGGAAAAGGTATGTCAAAGAAAGTATTAATGACTAAAAGATTGTGATGAGTAAAGTGCAGCATAATATTCCTATATGAAAGTAAGCGGGCTTGCTAAAAACTGCTTTTGAAGTACTTTGAAAGGCATTTGGAAAGAGGTGAGCAAGGGAAAGAATCAGCAGTGGTCAAAACCTTAGGCGTGAGAGAAGTGAAAGTGAATGGAGGAAGCTCAAACTGAGCAGTCATTTCCTGTGCTGGATGTGTGTGCAAAGGCTAAGTACGTTCTATCTGCTTCGGTTTCATATTGATTTTTTCACCCCATACAGCCATCTTGAGTTTAGAGTAATAAGGCAGAGGCTAGAAACAGTGAGCTGCTGTCCCTGGAGATATTTTCTCTTTCAGAGTGGCTGATATTTCTGTTCACTAATGAAGACATGCTCTGCTCATGTATAAATGGTAGCAAAGTTGGATGCTTACTTTATTCTGTTTTCTAGATTTCAAAGTAGTAATATTTTTCTTGATAGAGTCCAGAGTTACGGTGATTACATGTACTCAAAGACCAGGAAACCTTGTGCCTTGATTCAAGATGTATGGGCTGCAGTTAAGCTGCAGAGGTTTTGGCTAAATGGAGAATAGTATACATTTTCTAGTCCCTTTAAGCTACAAGATGAGTCTTGTGCTCATCCTGTGGGAAATGCAGCCAGAGCATTGGAAGCTGCCTCAGGCTCTTTCTCACTTACTTTACATGAGAAGGAAATGAGCAACACAGAAGTTGAACTGGTAAACAATTTTTCTGAATCTTTCATCTTATGTAGTCTTTGTTATGAAGCATTAGGGGATGCCATCCAAAGGGCCCTGGGCAGGCTTGAGATGTGGGCCCATGTCAACCTCATGAAGTTCAACAAGGCCAAGTGCAAGGTCCTGCACCTGGGTTGGGAAGTCTCAAACACAGATACAGGTTGGATGGAGAATGGCTTGAGAGCAGCCCTGAGAAGAAGGATTTGGGGGTGTCAGTTGATAAAAGATGAGCCTGTAATGTGCCCTTGCAGCCCAGAACGCCAACCATATCCTGGCTTACATCAAGAGAAGCGTGACCAGCAGGTCAAGGGAGGTGATTTTGCCCCTCTACTCTGCTTTTGTGAGACCCCCACCTGGAGCACTGCGTCCAGTTCTGGTGCCACCAACACAAGGAGGACATGGAATTGTTGGAGCAGGTCTAGAGGAGGGCCGCAAAGATGATCAGAGGGCTGGAGCACCTCCTCTACGAGGACAGACTGAGAGATCTGGGGCTCTTCAGCCCGGAGAAGATAAGGCTCAGAGGAGACTTGATAGTGTCCTTCCAGTACCTGAAGGAGGCCTACAGGAAAGCTGGGGAGGGACTTTTTATAAGGCCATGTAGCGACAGGATGAGGGGAATTGGACTTAGACTAGATATCAGGAGGAAATTCCTTACTGTGGGGGTGGTGAGACACTGGAACAGATTGCCCGGTGAGACTGTGGATGCCCCCTCCCTGGAAGCATTCAATGCCAGGCTGGATGGGGCTTTGAGCAAACTAGTCTAGTGGGAGGTGTCTCTGCCTATAACAGGGGGTTGGAACTAAATGATCTTAAAGATCCCTTCCATCCCAAACTGTTCTATGATTCTGTGATTAACAAAAGCCAGGCTCTTGCCAGTGGCTTGCCTAGAGGAAGCTGAACTGCCCTGTAGTCATATGAAGAACAAGATTCAGCTCACTTGTCTTTAATGAGCTGGTCCTGATAGTTTCTTGTATGATAGCTTTTTAATATAACTCAAGCTGGATTTGCTCATGAACCTGAGAATTACAACTGTGTTTTCCCTACATCTAAATTCAAAGTATTGGAAGGAGGCCTAAAGTCATGCGAGAGGAGTAGGTGAAGCAGTGTATTATTAGCACTCTGCTTGGGTGAATATACTTGGAGTAGAAAACATGCAGCTGGGAAGGTGCTGCTGCTGCTGCAACTCTGTAAACTGAATATAGGAATCATAGAGTTCTTACAGTTGGAAGGGGCATCATTGAGTTCAACTCCCCTGCAGTGAACAAGGACATGCACAACTCGATCAGCTTGTGCAAGGCCAACTGATCCAGTCTGGCCTTGAAAGCCTCCAGGGATGGAGCATCAACGACAACTCTGGGCAACATATTCCAGTGCCTCACCCACACTGTAAAAGATTCGTTCTTGTATTCAGCCTAAGCTTGAAGCTATTTCCCCTTGTTCTTTCACCACAGACCCTGCTTCCTTCTAATTGGCATATTTCCTAAATCTATAAAGCTTTGTTGTTCAAGTAGTCATCCAGGAGTTGCTTTCTAGGTAGTGGAGTATGTTCTATAAATTTGTGGTTTTAAATCAGAAGTTTAAAAGTTAGAGTCTTCATTTTCAGTTAGAAGGTTCTTCAGCTTTGGGCAAAATTGTTTCATCTTACCTCTATTCAATTTTGTATGGAATAGATGAGCACTTTAGTAATTAATATTAACCTCTGTAATAAGAGTGAACTACTTCCTGCTAGCAGAAGTAGCATGCCAGTATGGGACTGAATATCCTCTATTAATTGTTTCTATTAGGTCAAAAAGATCTTCTCACCCCTTGTTACAGTGGAGAACAACCAAGTGGATCCTTTGGACCTGTAAATCCCATTTTGAATTCAACTTACGACTTCATGGCTACATTATTCAAAGAAATCAGCAGTGTATTTCCTGATGCCTACATCCATCTGGGAGGAGATGAAGTGAGCTTCAATTGCTGGTATGGTCACAGTTCAAAAAATAAATAGCCAGTGCCTCTTAAAAAATCCATCAGTTGTGAGATGGTTTTTCTCTGCTTATCCCAAAGATACTCTGTTCTCCTGCTTCTGTAAGAATTTACAGGTGGAGCATTTTCAACAAGCAAGTGCTGTAGGAGTTACAGTTGTGCAGAATTTTACTCTGACCATTTGTGTGCATGTTGGGATATTCTAAAGGATTTCTTTACGAAAACTAACCATTCAGAAGGGAGAAAAATTTGGGGAGTTAAGCACTATAGAAGATCATTAATGCTGAAGTGCTTTGTGTTAAAGCAAAACCAGTCCTTTTCATTGAGCCCATTTTTAATAGAAAATCTGTTAATGTTAAGAATTACAGTACTGACTCTTTGGTGCTTACATTACAAATAGTGCATACATTAATACAGTTCTTCAAGTTGTGGATTTGGGCTATTTTTAAATCTTTCTGATGGAGTAACTAATAATAATACAGAGTTCAGAGCTGATGTAATAGGATTAGCATTCAAATTGATCCTAGTTAGTATTTGTGGATTCTCTTGAAGAAACAAATCTGAACACTCAGAACTGCTTTAATTTTTGAAGTGGAGATAAATTCTGTCAAATGTTTCAGTACAAAGTGTTTGTTTGCTTTAAGGTAGTTCTTTTCAAATTTGATTCTTAATGTAACTCCTGCAGATACCCTGGTGCTCTTTGACTGCTTAGTTTCCAGACCTGCTGGCAGTTTTCCCACAAAATGACAGAGGCGCCAGGAACCCCAGAGCTCTTAGAAGCTTGACGAACCCTGCCAGAAGCTGCTTGAGGGCAGGAACTCCAGTAGCTTTCCAAGAGTATTAAGACTATTGGCTTTGTTTCAAATCATGATTAAATTTGGTTTAAAAATACCGAAATCGTATTATTCTGCTACTTCTGCTCTGCTGTGCATTTAAGGCTGTGACATGTCTAAAGCATCTTCTTAATATACTGTGTGTGGATAAAACTAATTGGGAAATCAGGTTTAAAACATACAAAAAATAATTATTCTGATTTATTTTTTTCTGTTCAAGGAAATCTAACCCTGAAGTGAAAGATTTCATGAAGAAGCAAGGATTTGGCATTGACTATGCTAAACTGGAATCATACTATGTTCAGAAGTATGTGCTTAATTTTTAATTCCTGCCCAGCTTTTCACACTTGCTATCTGAGGGGGATGTCAGGGTGCAGATATGTAATTTTTTAGACTGTATTATATATAGTTTTCAAAAATTCCCATGCATGGGGTACATCCCAGTTTCTTTCCTATTTTTACACTGAATATAGAGTTTACATCTTTAAAATGTGGGACACAACAAGGATATGTAGGTTTGTTTTAAACACACTCTGAATGTATTGGGTATTTTTAAACTAGGTGTACTGAAATGTCAGTAAACAAGGTGGGGAGAAAAAATCAAAAGGTTTTTGCAGACGTTTATTGAGTTTTCTTAAGTGGCATACATTTCAACATCTTTCTGAGTTACTGTCAGTTTGTACTGAAGTCTGTGTTAATGTACATGCATTTCCTTATACGTATGTTCTTCTAGAAAGAACATTGAAGGCAAAATGAGAGAAGTCTGGATTCTTTAGGTCCCTTAGGAACAAAAAGGTGCAGTATGCATTAGAGTAGGAAATACTGCTGCATTAGGTGTCTGTGTTTGAGCTGCTTGAAGTTCACAGGCATGATCTTATTTCTAAATCCTAGGATTTTGGATATTGTTTCCTCCTATAACAAAGGATACATGGTCTGGCAGGAAGTGTTTGATAACAATGCAGAGGTAAGATGGAAAAGTAAATAGGATACTCTCATAAAACAGCACAATATCATGGGAGGCTTCCAAAATAGACTATTAAGTAGTTTTGGTTGTGTCCTGTAAGTGTTTAAAGGAAATCTGTGGACAATACCAGTAAGTGCACAAAGGTGTGTAGCCTAATTGGGAATTACCATTTATCTAATAGGTAAAATAGGTGAAACAAGAACAGCAGCATTGCTGCACTTTCTTCAAGGTAGGAGTAGATAATATCACTTAATGTAGAGCATGAGTAAAGAGTAGAAAAGTTTCTCTGCCTTCTTATATACTTTAAGTTTTCCAGGTAACAGCACACCTAGACTGGTAACGCCAGGTGCTCAGCTTTTTTGAAGTTGTCAAGTCACTGGTGCATGTAGCAGCCATCTCAGGGAACAGACTGTGTACAATCTGTACTTCACTTCAGTGTGAACTGTGTTTAAAACTAACAGATTATTAGTTTTAGACTAGGAAAGAAAACAGTGCCAAAAGTTAGCTTCCACTGTGCTCCTTTTCGAAGCAAAATGCCCCCCTCAAGTTTTGAAATCTGTTATTGTTTTTTTTTTTCCTGTCAACAGTAATTAGGATTGTCTTTCATGTTGATTTTTTTAAAAATTATTTTTATTTTTCTCTTCTAGCTGAAACCAGACACTGTAGTTGAAGTGTGGATGGCAAATAACTATGCACACGAACTGAGCCGTGTCACTAGAGCAGGGTTCACTGCTATCCTTGCAGCTCCCTGGTATTTGGACTACATTAGTTATGGACAAGACTGGACAAAATACTACCGCGTTGAACCACTTAACTTCCCTGGTTTGTTACTTTTTTTATATATGATCTGTGTGTGAATGTATTTGGTTCAAAATAAGGCATAAATTGAATAGATAAGGCTATTCAGAGATGCATGCAGTTGGTATGATCAAATACCCTATAATCAAAGGTCTTCAGCATTTTCCAGAGTTGTGGCTGACAAACAAGTGAAAAAAAAATTGCAACTTCCTATTTCTCAAATGAAAAGCATTAGTTCCTCCAACATGTGGCACTGGTGCGTGTGTGAGACAGGAAGCTGGACGGCATGAACAGACGTGTCATGCTTTAGGGACAACACAAAACACCTGATGGTGGACAATGAACTTGTATTTTGAAGCAACCTCATAGAAAGTTAGACTGTTAAAGAAAAAGGTATATTCTCTCCCTCTGGCTGAAGCTGATAGTCAGAATTTTTGCCATTTCCCAGGCTTTCTTTTTATGCAGAGTACTGGGGAGAACTTCTGAGTTCTACAGCTTCTTCAAGAAACGTTCTGTGTGTAGTAGAGGGAGCAGTTTGAATGAAAACTTGAATCCCTGAAGTGTGTCTAAACAATTGAAAATAAAAGTTCTAAGCTTTTCTGCCACAGAAGGGAGATGTGTTATCCAGGCAAATGGGCTAGTCATTCTTACATTCTACCACCAAAATGCTAAGTTTGTGCTCAGGACAGGTATGTTATTTGATAAAAAATAAGTAACAGCTGAAGAGCAGTCCTGAGTATTGAAGAAAAAAATAATTGTGATACATGCCCATGTCCTGGACAAATAGAAATTCTAACTTTCTGCTTTGAATACAGGATCTGAAAAACAGAAAAGACTCCTAATAGGTGGAGAAGCTTGCCTATGGGGAGAATACGTGGATGCCACAAACCTCACACCAAGATTATGGTATGAACTTCTTTATATTTTAGAAAGCTACAAGAAGAATGAATTAATCAAACAGTACTGTATGTTAGTGGTAACAGTGCTAGAGTTTATACTGACCCTAAGCAGCTTTAAAAATTGATGCTCCTGGTAAAAGACCTGGTACTTAAAACTTTTATTCATTTTTGGTTGTAGACTGTATCCCTCTAAAACTCAATATATCTTCACAGGCCTCGGGCAAGTGCTGTAGGGGAAAGACTCTGGAGCAGCAGAAATGTGACCAACTTGGAGGATGCCTATAAAAGACTGTCTAACCATCGATGCCGCATGCTCAGGTAAGATCAGTGGTTCTAGTAAGCCTGTGGCTCTCATGCCTTAGAGCCAGTGGAGTTAAAGTACAGGCATAAAATGAATGAAAGCTGGCAGACTAGTCTGATCATATAAATATCATCCCAAGTGTTTTGGTGTCCTCAGAAGGGGAAAAACAGTTACATTAAGTCAGGAGTTCAAAAAATTCTTGCAGTTAACATTCTCAAAACCATGAACCCTCTTTACTGAAATGCTAGAACTTATCTCTGTTCTGCTTTCTTCTAAAGAAAAAACATACTCCATGACTGACTTATTTCAGACTATGAAGGATATTAAAGGGCATACGTGAGGAGTACACAGACAGGAGAAAAAACAGACTGATTTTTTTAGTTATTAGAAATAGGTAATTGTTGCCAGAGGTAATCAAATGGAGCTTCTTGTATGAGAGGTGGGCTTGAATGACCTGTTCTTTCAGGTATTGCCTTAATGTAGGGAGTGAAAGGGTGGATCTGGAGTCCCTGTTGAATTAAAGTTTTTTAAACTACCACAGACTATATCAGTTCATAATAGGTTGTTCACTGCAGTTCTTGCTCAAAAAATGTGTAGACAATTTACTGCTTGTTTGTTGCTAGTGCTGTCTTTGTATATTTGTGGTTGTAGAAATGAGTCAGTTCCGGGTCTTCTGTTTCAGTGCGACTCCACTTCTAAAAGTACACAGCCAGAAAGCAGTTTATGACTGCTCAAATGTTGCTGCAATTGGTCTACAGCAAGAATGAGCAGGCCATTTAGTTTTATAGTAGTCCATAACAAACCATAGAAAATTCCAACCATGAGAGGAAGGATTTTGAGATATATTCAGATGAGGTTTTTAGAGGATGGGATACATGGCAATTACAGTCAGCACCCAAAATTCAAACACTCTCTCCAGATTCCTGTAGGTACCTCAGCACGTGTTTTGTTGACACACAAACTCATGCTGAATACTGACTGTTAGGAAAAAAAACCTCACGTTAAAGACATGTTCTCTTTAAAAGTACTGCTTTTATGTAGGCTTTAAGCTAGAAGGATGGTAGAGAAACCATCCCGTTTCCATTGGTTAAACGATCATTCCTTCTGTCAACAGTTACACTGCCTTTCACTGGACCTTCCATGAGATTTCCTGACTTTTGTTTGAACCTCAAAGAGCTGATTTTATTAACTGAACTGTTACAAAAATTTAGAAAGTGGGCAAACATGTCCCTGATACTGTTTTTGTACATGGAATATGTATATGCAGAAGATGGTGGTTCCAGCAGGCTGAGGTGCCGTTCCAAATAAAACAGCTCTGGCTTGATGTATGTATCAGATTATGCAGATTAGGCAGAGAATGAAGGGACAGGCAGAAACTTTCTAACAGCTAGATCACAGTCAGTGGAAGAACAATAGTCATCTAATCTAAGGGAAAGATTACTGCTACTGAAATTGTACTATAAAAGCAGTAGCTTCCATTCAGATCTGAACTCAGCTTCCTGTAGTGATGAGTTGAATGAAAATGACATAATCAGAGCTGCATGTGAAGGAAATGTTAGCCTGAGAGTAGAATGTGCAGTGTTAACTTTCTTGAGTTTTCATATTTATCACTCATCTTAAAAGCAATAGGTTTTACAGAACAGGAAGACCATTGGCTTTTCAACTCATTTTCTAGTATTCTGGTAGGTTCAACTGAAACAAGGCTACTGTACTTGGCTTAGTAACCCAAATGCAATCTACAGAATAGGCCCCTTTTTTCACTCTCTAAGTAGGCAGTCCATTTTGTTTACATAAAGCAGATTAAAACTGGCTGCCCTTATCTCTGTTCCTTCCTAAACCACTTGCCCATTATTTGATTTATTCATACATACTTGACTTTATTTTAACAGCAGAGGCATAGCAGCTGAGCCTCTTTTTGTTGGCTATTGTCCCCATGAAGCAAGATGGCAGTGACTGCTTTGGATACCTCCATTCAGCAACCTGAAGTGCCTCTGAAGATGCATAGATGCATACATGTGGTTTGATTGTTGAACCAAAAACATCTTCACTTTTAAAATAAAGGTATTTCACATGCTTGTTGGAGTAGACCTTTTTCTTTTAATCTATATCCTAAAGGTTAGTTCCATATCAAACTTTAATTAGGAAGAGGGATTCTTCACTATGAAGTCTTTACATAACTAAAAATGAAGAAAAATAAAGTTACTTGTGTTGAGAGTCTGCTCTTTATATGTCAAAGTGTTTTGTCATCTGCTACTTTTCCAAATAACTGCAAATGTCAAATTGTAATAGATGGCAAAACCTGACCATTTAAAGCTTCAATCAGTCATTCTTAGACATCAGAAAAATCTTCAGTGTACACCGAAGTAACAGGTGGGGACTGTTATTGGGGGAGAACTCTGATTCTTGTATTTTTTGCTTCCTCTATTTGCAGATGCACCATATATTCCAGGTACTTGTTAAAACAAACTCTAAAGTAAGTTATATCTGGTGTCCCAAATTCTATTTCACGTTGATTTCTAGCCATACAGAAACATACTTTTATAGTTAAAAGTGATTCTTGAACAGTCTTGTCTACAGCTGAAAACGAATCAAGATACAAAACTGTAGTTATTCATTCACAGACATTAACTTACAGACTTCACAAACTTTACTTAGTATATAAGAAATAGTCTCTTTTACACACTAATATGCACGTAGTGCTCATTCCTTTACAAAGGATTTGCATCACTTCTCATTGTGGTTATCTGTAAGATAAGGATTGCCAAGGCAGCAGATTGTGGTTGCATCTCTAGTGGGCTGCCCTGCAATTAAAAGGCTTTGCCTGAAGAACACAGTCTCTTGAATGTTCCCTTGGAAAGTCAAAAGCAGATGGCAATCATGCTGCAGCTAATTCATCATTTACCACAATCAGTTAATTGCAGAAGAACATACTGGTCAACATAGGTAGTTTCCTGGAAATATTTAGTATGGAGGATAGGTCGTATCTTTATTTTTCTACAAAGCAAAGCAGTCACACCAACCCCATCCTCCTTTGAAGAAGTGCACTTTGCTCTTGACTGTTCAGGGCTTGATAACTGGCTAACTCCAAAGTAAAAGTTGCCGAGCCTGATGTTAACGAACGCAGAACTGTTGAGTAGCCCTGAACAAAAAACAGAAAACATATATCACCTAATTCAGGGCAGAGAAAAGATAAATTAGCAGAGAATACCTAGAGAAAAAGGGACAGAGTCTTAAGTATACTGCAACATTCTAGTAATTTTTTTAACATTACTATATTAAAAGCACAACGCACACAAAAATTAACCTTGTTTTGTCACCTTCTTTTTTTAACTATTCTTTGTAAAACCAGCTTTTACTACTGTTCTGGCATAAAACTGAAAACACACCATTTTAGAAACTGAATCACATTCAAAACGCTACTAAGTTTGCAAGCGCAGTAACAAAACATGCTCTAAATCCACGCAACCTCTGAATAACTTGCTTCAGACCTCCCATAATTAAAATACAATTAAAAACATCAAGTCCAAATTTGCTTATACATAACAGGAAGAGCGATCTGAAGTCTGTAAGTCTTCTTATGCTTTACAACAATTACATACCATCATTTCTGCTAGTGGAACAGCAGCAATCACAACTTTGTTATCTTGGCGACTCTGGATTTCCTGAATACTGCCTCTTCGCTGTGCAAGGTCAGCAAGTGCTGCACTGAGGTGATCTTCACTTACTGTGATTTCTAGGCTCATCAGGGGTTCCAGAATTTGAATACCAGCTTTTTTCAAAGCCTGCATGGAAATGATGGAGAGCTATGACAAATCCTTTTTAAAAAAACTGATGTAAGAAATGCTTATATGGTTCGTTAGTACTGCCACTCGAACTTTTTACCTCCAAAATTCCCCAAGCAAGAGTTACACTGTTCAAGAACAATTGCCAGATAATGATAAACCTCTGTTTTCCCAGTGATACATCATGCTTCTGTGCTCTACAACAGCTTACAGCTTTGCTATACCTTTTGCAAGCAACGGGAGATGCAGGCTGATATCATTGTGTCGGAGGTATCGGGATGCACTGTCAGTGATTGCACAGTCACATCTATATCCTGAACAGGGAAACCTAGCAAGGGTCCTAACAAGAAAGAAAAAGAAGAAAAAGTGCATTAAAAAACAGACACTTTCTTTTCAGAATATTATGACACAGAGGAGGAAAAAAAAAAGTTCCAGGATTTTCAGGATCTCACTTTTCTCTTTCCCTTCTCCTCCTTATGTCTCCAAGGGCATGGCTATTTGCTTACAGAGAAAGGCATAAAGACTCATAACCTCCTTATTCTCCTTATCAAAAACAGAGCTAACGATTTTCAGAATTTAAAGTTCCTGAGGACACTCATCCAAACAACTGTCTTAAAATATCTGAAATTCATCTGCTAAAAAAGACATCAACTGAAAAAAAGAAAGTAATGGAGTCTCTTGTTTAACCTAAAAGCAGAATATCTTCTGTATGTTCAACAGAGAGTGGCTGCAGGAAATTCCCAGTATTAACATATTACCAAAACTGCAGTGTTAACTCGATTCCATAAAAGATCACCTATCTCTCTAGTAACCTGTGCAGTTTAACTCACTACAAAACTAAGAAATCTTAACTAGACCAAAACCAGACTGGATGTGGTGCTTGAACCATGTCTGAGGAAAAAAAAAAAAAAGATACATAAAGCTTTTTCCTGCAGAACACATGGCTAGATGGATTTTTAAAGGAAAAAAGCCTTTAGTGATAAGAATTTTATGCTGTAGACTGCACAATTTTGAAGAGTCTTTGTGGTGTGTGAAAAAAGCAGTCAAGACTCATTTCACAGCCAGATACAAAGCAATTTTAAAAGAAACACCACATGCTGCCTTTTCAGTAGTAATTCTCTTTTATTAAATCACAACATGTTAGTTTTACTGTAAGGGGGAGTCCTTTGGTCACAAATTACTAAACAATGTTTTAAGCTAAATGTAAGAGACAGTTTTGAAGAGACCCCACACTTTACAATTAGATAAGACTTTTTATTTTGTTAATATATTAGTACATAAACTTCATATACTTTCATGAATTTACAGAAAATTAAAAAAAAAATCAGTAAATAATATAAGTGTGGTATTGACATGTTGGCCTCCAAAACCAGTTCAAGATGCTTTACATGATGTCATCAAACAAGTGCCTTACCTATTACACTAGATCACAAAAACATACCAAAGAAAATGAATATTATAATTTGACTTAGAAGAAATCAAAAACAATCAAAATTAAAACCAAAGGCATGCTGCCTTCCATTGCTGGTATGGTAAAAGGGGTATGTAGCCATTTTTGCAGTTAAGAAAATTCCAGAACTTCTTTTGTACCTGAAGTATATTCATAGTTAATATGTTTTTGCTTTAAAGCTACCAGATTTTTTTTTTCTCCCAGAATTATACTGGATTGATTCTTGCAGAAAAGTTAGACCAGTGTAGCTGTTATAGTACTTCCTTTACCTTGAACACATGAATTCATGATTCCATTTTCTATTGCTTCCTGGAGTTCTTTGGGTAGCACTTCAATGACACTCTCAGCATACTCAATGATAGGTTTGGTCACCATTCTTTCTCCTGACACAGGCCTCACCTCTAGCTCTGTAGTCACAAAGTGTCTTTTATCTCCTATTACTTTATCCAATACATCTTCAGGAAACAAATGAACAGGAATTCGGTGGGGAAATAAACAACACATAATTAAGTAACTTCCAGATAAATTTTAAGCAATTCAGTATAATGAGAGATCTTTTCAAGTAAATCAAGTAACAGAACAAGATACAAGATATTTATTAGATTCCTTCTTTTTACCCGTGGCTTGTGCAGCATTCAGGATGGTTTCTCTGTAGGCTACCTGAAGTGGTCCCAAATATGTCTCTATTCCATATTCACGTTTGATTCGGTCATGAATGATCTCTATATGCAGTTCTCCCATGCCACAGAGAATGGTCTAATGAGATGACAGTTAAGAGAGAGGCAGAAGAACATAGAAAACTTAGGTTTTCATAAGAACTGTTAAAACAAGGGCTCACGGACTTTTAATACCTTCTTAAAAGTACTTCAAATTCTAAGGAGCCCTGAGAAAAAAAGAAAACAGGACTACTTCATGTAATCCAAGAAACATCCTAACTGACACAGCAATTCCTGTTGTAAAACCATTAAGTAAAAAAAGATTACATAAAATTCAAGTTCTTCTAACTTCGTGAAGAACTCTCAAAACATGCAGGAAATAGGATGACCTCCTTTATTCTGTAAAGTACATGTGCACAAGGTTCAATTTTAGTTTGTTTAGAGGCTCACAGCTTTGTACTTACACGATACGAACACTGAGATAAGCTTTTCATTCACAGTAATCTAAGTATGTAAAGTAACTGAAGAGTGGTCCTGACAGTTCTAAAATAAAGTTTAATTACAAGGTGAGGAATAGAAGATTCATCTTACCTGCCCGGTGTCAGGATCTATTTTCACTTTTAAGCTTGGATCTTCACGCTGAAGGCAGCTCAATGCATTATCCAAGTCTGTACATAAACAACAAACAACATATCCAAAGAGTAATTTGAGAATCACGGTGAATCCCTAAACATCACTTTCCTCGTAGGGTCACAGCTTATTCTCAGAAGTAGTCTAAAGGACCCTAGAGAAGCATGTATTTTTGTAGACACTCAAATTACACGCAACTTGCAACTTCTCTCAACATATTAATTGCATGCTAGACAGCTTCCATAACTGATTAGTCTTCTTAAATAGCAAAATTTAATGACACCAAGCAAAAGCTGAACAATCTCCATGCAACATCTAGAGACAGAAGCTTTTGAATAAAATGACGATCTCACTTAAAAATAGCTTATTGGAAAAATAACCTGTTTAAATTCTATCATGAAAAATACATTTTTCCAAGTTGTATTTTACAGTTGTATAAAGTTATACATGAAAATGTAAGTGTTTCATCTAACAGTAAAAAGCACCATTCCCTTTTTACAGATAAGAAAAATTGCCATCTTTAGGTGATTTACCTACATTTTTACAGATGAGTTC